CCTTCCTCCAACAAGGCCACGCCTACTCCAACAAGGGGAAACAGAGATACTCTTGAGAACAGAGTTATGCTATTTTCCAACATTTAAAACAAAAACAGAACTTGAAAAACTTTGGTACTATAACAAAATCCCTTACATGCATGTCTATTCATATATGTATATATGTATGCATATCTGATGTGAAAATCACCTCATCCCAACAGTAACTGGTATTCACACTGCTTGGAAAAAGATGTTTTTAGCTGCTGCCGCCTTCTTCTTCCTCCTCCTTCCTCCTTCCTCTTCCTCCTCCTCCTCCTCCTCCTTCTTCTTCTTTTTCTTCTTCTTCTTTCTTCTTCTCCCTCTCTCTCTCCCCTCTCCCGTCTCCCTCTCCCCTCTCCCTCTCCCTCTCCTTCTCCCTCTCCCTCCCCTCCCCCGTTCCTCCCCCTCCCCTGCTCCTCCCCTCTCCCTCCTCCTCCTTCTCCTCCTGCTCTTCCTCCTCCTCCTGCTCCTCCTGCTGCTCCTGCTCCTGCTCCTCCTGCTCCTCCTCCTCCTCCTCCTCCTCCTCCTCCTCCTCCTTCTCCTCCTCTTCTTCAGCAGCCCTATGCTGACCCATGCTAGGCACATGCTTCCCTGGTGAGCTTCATCTCCGACAGTCTTCATAGACTGCAGAGTGAGGTGTGGTGTGGTGTGTGTACTCAGGAAGCTGAGGCAGAAGGATTTCTTGAGTTCAAAAGTGGAAAACCCTGCTTTAAAAATGGGGTTGAATTGTGGGGTGGGAGCTGGAGAGATGATTCATCAGTTAAGAGCGTTTGCTGCTTTTCCAGAGGACCAGAGATTTGGTCCCCAGCACCCTCTCGGGTGCTCACAGCCTCCTGCAACTCCTACTCTATGTTGCCTGACACCAAGTTCTGGCCTGCCTGGTCACCTGCACACCAACCAGACAAAAACAAAGGCATTATTTGTCCCAGCACGGCTGCTGTAATTAATTACCATAAGCTCATTTCTCAGATTCTGGAGATGGGGTAACTGAGAATACGGTATCCAGCTGTCCTAGAACTCCTGGTGCAGACCAGGCTGGTCTTGAACTCACAGAGATCTGCCGGTCTCTGCCACCTAAGTGCTTAGATTAAGGGAGGGCATCACCGTGTTAGAATCTCTTTCACTGGCGCACCTTCGTGACCTAACCATTTCCCAGAGGCGCACTTCCTAATGCTGTCACTTTGCGGGGTTAGGCTTTCAACAAGTCACAAAACCTGTCTCCGATAACTTGCAAAGGGTGGATCTAGTAGGTTAAGGGCGAACAGGGAATGACTTGTAGTTACAACGGGGACCTAGGGGTGCTTCTCGGTGGCAGTGTGTTTTGTGTTTTTCTTTCCTTTCACCACAGCCATAAACAACTTTGGGAGAGAAGGGTTTATTTCTGCTTCCAACTCTCAGGTCACACTCACAGTCACTGAGGGACTTTAGGACAGGAACTCAAGGCAGGAAGAAGCCTGGAGGCAGGAACTGATGCAGAGGCCATGGAGGAGTGCTGCTTACTGGGGTACCCTATAGTTTGCTCAGCCTGTTCTCTCTCTCTCTCTCTCTCTCTCTCTCTCTTCTCTCTTCTCTCTTCTCTCTTCTCTCTTCTCTCTTCTCTCTCTCTTCTGTCTCTCTCCCCCTTTCCCCTCTCTCCCTCCCTCCCTCTTTCCCTCCCTCCCTCTTTCCCTCCCTCCCTCCTCTTTCCTTTCTTTCTTTCTTTCTTTCTTTCTTTCTTTCTTTCTTTCTTTCTTTCTTTCTTTCTTTCTTGATATGGTTTCTCTGTGTAGCCCTGGTTGTTCCGGAACTTGCTTTGTAGACCAGGTTGGCCTCGAACTCACAGAGATCCACTTCCCTCTGCTTCCTGCTTAATCCTGCTGGGATTAAAGGCATGCACCACCACTGTCTGGCTCAGCCTGCTTTCTTATAGCACCCAGGACCAGGGGTGGCACCATCTACAGTGAGCCGGCCCCTTTCTACATCAATTAGACTTGCCGACAGGACGATCTAGTGGGGGCATTTTCTCAATGGAGATTCCCTCTTCCAAAATGACTCTAGCTTGTATCAAGTGGACATACACCTAGCCAGCACGACAGGACTGACCTGCGACTTTATATGTTCCCGCTTCTACACCCCAAGTGCTGGGACTGCAGACCACGTACCACCATGCCTGATTTCCGAGGGGCTAGGGTTGAATGAAGAGCTTCGTGCATTGCTATGCGGTACCCAAGGCACTACGTCCCAGTCCCGCGGTTCTTGCCTCTGATTACTGAACTACTCCATTCTGCAGAGCTGAACGCTACAACCTGCCCGTCTTCTTTGTGTATAGGCGCACCATTAACTTCTAGAAAGCTGGATGCAAGAAATAGCAAGTGCTGCTCGCTTTTCACGGTTAGCTCGTAAAAACCCTTCAGTGTATGTTCGAACAGCACAGTGCTGTGCATGCTTCCTGCCTCCTGAGCCTGGCGGCTTGCAGATCTTCTTTTACGGGAAGAGAGCTTTTGGTTAGGAGAAGTGGGTTCTGTGATGTGAAAAGCTCAGTTTAGAGTGCTCTAAAGGCAAGAACAAGCGAGAACGCCAAGGCTAGCTCCTGGGGGAGAGCTGTAAATATGGGTGTGAACTCGTAAGCTCCAAAGCCCAGAGAGTGACGGGATTCAGGTAAATGTTTTCAATTATCGGTAGAGTGAAGATATAGCTGAGAGGTTTTCTTGTTCGTCATAACTCAGAGTCACTACGTAGCTGAGGATGCCCTTGAACTTTTGGGCTTCCCACCTCAATCTCCGGAGTGCTGGGACTGTGGGGCTGAACCATCATCACATTTGGTTTACACAGTGATGGGGCTTAGACTTGGGTCTAACTGATGTGCATTTCTAGACTCTGTTATTAAGTTTTAAGTAGCGTGGGAGTGCGTGCGTGCGTGCGTGTGTGCCTGCGTATGCCTGTGTGTGCGCGTGCATGATGCTATGGTGTGCTTCCCACCACGTGGGCCCCAGAGATTGAGCTATTATCAGGTTGCTCCCTACAGATCAATGTCACTGTCCTCATTTTTCTTATTTTTGTTTGATACACAGGGTCTTTTACTATGTAGTCCTTGGTAGCCTAGACATATGTGTAGCCAGACAAGCTGGCCTTAAACTCACGGAGATCCACCTGCTGCTGCCTTCCTAGCACTGGGATTAAAGGTGTGCGCCACTGCGTGGGACCTAAAGGTTACTATTTATTGTTTTTGAGACAGGGTCTCGCTGTACAGTACTGTCTAGCCTGGAACTTACTATGTAAACTATGCTGGCCTCAAATTTCCATTCTCTCTCCTGAGTGCTAAGGTTGAAAGTGTGCCACCACATCCATCCTGGGCTTAAAGATTTTTCAAAATTGTCTGTGTCTCTATGTCTCTCTCTGTGTGTGTACCCAAGATGCCTTTGTATATCAGAATAGTCTGGGGCTGGAGTTACAGGTGGTTGTGAACCACCTGCGAAATGGGTGCTGGGAACCAAATTTAGGTTCTCTGAGAGAACATTGCATGTGTTTAATCACTGAGCTATAGCTCCACTCCCAGGTTTAATGTTTTTATTATTATTATAATATTATTTTTGGTCTTTGAGACATGGCCTATGTGGCCCTGGCTAGCCTCAACTTCATATGTAGACCAGGCTGCATGGATTCTGCACCTGATTCTGCTCCAAGTGCTAGGAATAGAGGTGTGTGTCATCATACCTGCTCCTGAGTGTTGTGTGGCTAGTGTTTTGTTTTTGAGACAGCGTGGGCTCAAATTCACTACATAGTGAAAATAACTTCAATTTTCTGATCCTGTTGCCTCTAACTCTAAAATTTGGGGAAACCAGTCCACTGTAACTGAACCATGCTCAATTATGGATACAGGCGCTCAGAACTTCATGGTAACTGGAAAGTGAAGGGGCTTAAGAGTTGTGAAGGAACTAAGGATTCTTTTTAAAAAAAATATTTAAAGATGTATTTTTATGCTGGGCTTGCCGGTGTATGTCTTTAATCCCAGGAGTCCAGGAAGCACAGGCAGGTGGCCTGTGAGTTCGAGGCCAGTCTGGTTTATAGAGTGAGTTCCTAGACAGCCAGGGTTACAGAGAAACCTTGTCTTAGAAAACAACAACAAAAAGAATTTGTTGTGTTCACATCTTTTGGCTCGATATATGTCTGTGGTTACCAAAAGACAGTGTCCGACCTGAAGGTGTAAGTCGTCACGTGGATGGTGGGAGTCAAACCTAGGGCTTCTCCAGCGGCAACAAGTGCTGTTAACTATAGAGCCATTTCTACAATTCTAGACGTAAGGTTTTTTGTTTGTTTGTTTTTCGAGAGAGGATTTCTTTGTGTAGCCTTGGCTGTCCTAGAACTAGTCACAGTGAACCCCCTGCCTCCTCCAGAGTGCTGGGATGAAAGGCCTGTGCCACCAACGAGAGCCTAAGATTTTTAAAAGTTAGTGTCATTTACTTTACACCAGGCTAGTTGGTTTCTCATGGTCGATCGTTTTTAAATTTCATTTTTGAGACGAGGTCTCACGTATCCCAGGCCCTTTTAAAAAAAACTTCCTATGTAGTTGAAGATGACCTTCGACTTCTTACCCTCCTGCCTCTCTCTCCCTCGGGCTTCGGGGTTGTCTGGCAGGCGTGACTTTACAAACTGAGCTCAGTCTGGGTCTTGTCATTTTAGAGATGATGAAAATCTGGGTTTAGGGAAGGTTCAATCAACTGCTCAAGTCACAAGAGCCAGGCCCAATGAGACTCTTGACACAGGAGTTTGTTAAGGACCAACTACTCTGCCTCCTGTCCTCTCTCTCGCTCGCTGCCCTACTCGACTCAAGAGATGAATTTCACAAACGACTAAAAGCGAGGTGCAGAGGACCTAGTGGGTCCAGAGAGCAGATGGGCGGATCCTCAACTGCCAGCTCTTTCCAGAGGGCACAGGCCCCGAGGGCTGGATTTGGCATTCCACTGCACTTGATAAGGGAGGTCGGGAGCGAGCGCAAGCTCCGGGAGGAGACCACAGGAGTCAACTGAGGAAGAGCTGTCACAAAGCAAGCGCAAGGCAGGTGGAGGAATTCTCCTCTGGAAGGCCGGCGTCGGCCAGGCTCGGGTTCCTTTCCGCCTCTCCGGGCTTTTTGAAAGCCCCCGGAGGTAAAAGCCGCCGACTCGAGGCGAAAGCAGAGGCAGGCAAGGTGCACGCGTGAGGCCCCGGGTGGGAACGGGCAGGCGCAATCGCGAACTTGAGCCATCGCCGCGATTTCCCCGGGCGAGCGGGAAGAGCCCGAGAGGCCGCGGAGGGGGAGCCGGGCCGCCCTGGGTGGGGCCGGGAAGGGCCCAGGCCGCGGGCGGCGCCCGGCCACGTGACCCGGCGTGTTGTGGTCCGGCCCGCGTGGGTGGCGGGAGCGGCGCGGGGGCGGGGAGGGGCGTGTCACGTGACAGGGTTTAAATCTCCCGCAGCCGAGCCGCGGGGGCGCCAGTGCCGCGCGTCGAGCGGAGCAGAGGAGGCGAGGGCGGAGGGCCAGAGAGGCAGTTGGAAGATGGCGGACGAGGCGGCGCTCGCCCTTCAGGCCGGCGGCTCCCCTTCCGCGGCGGCCGCCATGGAGGCCGCGTCGCAGCCAGTCGAGGAGCCGCTCCGCAAGAGGCCGCGCCGAGACGGGCCTGGCCTCGGGCGCAGCCCCGGCGAGCCGAGCGCGGCGGTGGCGGCCGCCGCGGGGTGTGAGGCGGCGAACGCCGCGGCGGCCCCGGCGGCGCTGTGGCGGGAGGCGGCAGGGGCGGCGGCGGCGAGCGCGGAGCGGGAGGCCCCGGTGACGGCCGCGGTCGGGGACGGAGACAATGGGCCCGGCCTGCGGCGGGAGCCAAGGGCGGCTGACGACTTCGACGACGACGAGGGCGAGGAGGAGGACGAGGCGGCGGCGGCGGCGGCGGCAGCGATCGGCTACCGAGGTGAGTCCGCGCGCGGGGCCGCGCAGCCGCGTCCGTCCGCGTCCCCGCCTGTGACCCGGTCCCAGGTTGCCCGGGGCCCCGAGAGCTCCGCGGGCTTCGCGGCAGTGGCGGCGGCGGCGCAGTTCGGCCCTGGCTCGGCCGCGCGCCGCCGACCTCGCCGGCCCTGCTGCGGAGCCGCGCGCGGACTCGCCGCTCGCCTGGGCCGCCTTGCGCTGCTGCGCGCAGTCGCCGGGGCGGCAGGCTCTCGCAGTTTGTCCGTAAGAGTTAAGTTTTCCCTCCCTCGTCTTCGTTTACCAAAGCGTCTTTAGTAAAGTTGGTTGTTTTTTTTTTTCCTCGCTGCACACTTTGGTTTGCAACTTTGGGGCTGTCCCGTGGATCGACCTGCGATTGCGTTTGCAAACTGACACCTGTGTTTTTTGTTTTGTTTTGGATGGACCTGTCTTTTTTGAAGTTAGAAATTTTAATAGACCAAAGCTATTTCTTGAGGCACACTCTTAAAAATGTAATGAAATAGCTATTTCTAAAAACGTTACTTTTCTGCGACTGCATTTATCAGTTCAGTATAGAAGAGCAATAGCTTTACAGTACTTTAGTGAGCTTTTTTTTTTCTTAGAAAAATCATGTGTTCACCACATTTTTATTTTAAGTATTTCTTACATGTTTGCAATTCTGAAACAAACCTGCTTGGTTTTGCCCTGTTGACTCCAAATCTCCAAATGTTTTTTTTTTTTGTTTTTTTTTGTTTTGTTGTTTTTGTCTTTTTGTAATAATGTGACCTAACTATTTTTCCTGAAAAGCTTTGTCCAGGATTTATCGGAGTCTGTCAGTGACCTAAATGTTTGTGGACCATCTAATAGGGCATTGGCCATGAATTAAAAAGCAAAACAGCATGCTAGGGACTGGGATAGTAGCTCTTGGTTTCAGCTATTAAGGGGAAACAAATCGCATCAAGTATGTTTTATGGTCTTTAAAGCATAAATTTGCCAACACCTGGGAGGCTGAAGCAGGAGGATCACTACTTGGAGGGCTACAGAAAGAGACTTTCTCTGGTTGGGGCAGTGAGGACACAGCTAGGGATTGATTTTATCTCAGTGACATTTAGAGGTAATTTCTATTTGATGCATTTCATGAAGTTGTATTTTATTGTCCTGGGCATGGAACCCAGAGCCTTTTTTGAAAGCATGTTTCTGTTGGGCTACACAGATTTTATTTGTGTGTGTGTCTTCGTTTTGGATTTTCGAGGTAGGGTCCCCATATAGCCCAGGCTGGTCCGGAACTCACTATTTTATATATAGGTCAGGCTGGTTTCCAATGTCTGTGCCTTCCAGGTGCTGGATTTGTCTTGAACCCATGTGTCTCACCATATATAGGCCAGGTGGGCCTCAAAGTCCCTGGGATGGCAGGTGTGGACAGCAAGGCCCAGCTGGGGATTGTCTCAGCAGCAGCCTTTTGATCTCTTTGACAGACAACCTCCTGTTGACTGATGAAATCATCACTAATGGCTTTCATTCCTGTGAAAGTGATGACGATGACAGAACGTCACATGCAAGCTCTAGTGACTGGACTCCGCGGCCGCGGATAGGTATGCTTCAGGCATGTGCATCTTTGAAACAGTCACCCTTCCTTCCTTCCATCCTTCCGTCATCCTTCCTTTTTGAGACAAGATATTTTATAGTCCAGGCTAGTTGAGTTGCTCTACAGTCTTGTGCACCAGCCTCTGGAGTATATCACAACCAAGGCTCTTTCTGACTTTCTCTTCCTTCTCCTTTCCTTTCTTCTTGATTTGGCATTTTCATGTATCCTATGATGGCTTTAAACTCCTGGAGTGTAGGATGTAAGGATGACATTGAACTGATATTCCTGACTTTAGCAGCTGCCCAGAGTGTTGGGATTACAGGTGTGCTGTACCATGTCCCTTTGTCAGTGGCTGAGGATGGTTCCTCACCATCTGTTTTCTTCTACACATTGTTTTTGCTTTGTATGTACCAGTCTTGGGTGTTTGTTTGTTTTGTTGTGGTTGTTGTCATCTGCTTGCTTGTTGAGGCAGGATCACTTACAGTCCAGACTGGGTTTAACTTATTGCAGCCAGCCCTTATCGGCCTTTAATTTCTGTTCTTGTGTCTAAATGCTGAGGATTATAGTTATTTGGTACCACCCCCCCCCACAGCTGCTTTTGTACCAACTCTCCGTCACCTTTACCATTTAGATTTAGTTGCTCAGGTATTGGTAAGATTTTTTTCTTGGCCTCCTGCATGGTAATTCCTGAGTTGATCACCCAAGTCCACTAACCCTTAAAATATTCAAACAGTCTAGACAGTGGTGGCATGCACGTTTAATCCCAGCACTCAGGAGGCAGAGAGAGGCAGGAGAATCTCTTGAGTTCTAGGCCAGCCTGATCTACAGAGCAAATTCCAGGAGAGCCAGGGCTACACAGAGAAATCCTGTTTCAAACCAAACCAACCAACCAACTAAAAAAACCCCTTAGACCTAAGCACTGCCTCCCCAAACTCCGGGTTAGTCGGATCTTGTTAGGGATATGATATGAAATACTGTTAAATTGTATTCTTTGCATAAAAATGTATATATTGCTAGCTCATTGCTTGAAAAAACTAGAGCTTGTTATTAGAAGTGGGATTGACGTGAGTCTTTCTTCCCTTAATATAGGTCCATATACTTTTGTTCAGCAACATCTCATGATTGGCACCGATCCTCGAACAATTCTTAAAGATTTATTACCAGAAACAATTCCTCCACCTGAGTTGGATGATATGACGCTGTGGCAGATTGTTATTAATATCCTTTCAGAACCACCAAAGCGGAAAAAAAGAAAAGATATCAATACAATTGAAGATGCTGTGAAGTTACTGCAGGAGTGCAAAAAGATCATAGTTCTGACTGGAGCTGGGGTAAGGAAGATACAAACAGGAAAGAGAAAGCTATAGATACTATTCCTCTTCCTGCTCTTGATGTAGCCTTTATTCATAAAAACTGAGGACAGCAGCAGTTGCTAAACTAGTTCAGTGTTTTGAAAAGTTTCCCAACTTTAAATCTTTGTATATTTATAGTACAATTGGTAAGTGGAATTATGGGTTTTTTGTTTTGTTTTTATTTAAGATTGTGTGTGTGTGTGTGTGTGTGTGTGTGTGAGAGAGAGAGAGAGAGAAGAGAGAGAAAGTGAGCGCATGCGCGTGAGCGAGCGCCCACAGAGGTCAGAAATGGGTGTTGGGTTCCCAGGGATTGGAGTTATAGTAAGTGTGGGCCTCACTGGCAAACCTGGATGCTCTGTTTAATGGCTAGACTGTATAGCTCCTGGACTTGTTTGGTTTTTACATGTATGAGTGTTTTACTTGTATGTATTTTTTTGTACCATTGTGTGAAGTGCCCAAGGAGTCCAGAAGGCATCAGATCCCCTGAAACTGGAGTGATAGATGTTTGTGAGCCTCCAAGTCCTCTACAAGAGCATCAAGCCATCTTCCCAACCCCTAGAGTGTTTACACATTGTATACTAGCTCCTAAAGATGATTTAGAAAAATCCAATCCTTTTGAAGTCTATGGTAGCGAGAATATAGTGGATAAAGTTTTCATGGAGAAAATAGAAACTTAATATTGGGAAGTTAACATTTTTACCTTTATTTCATTTTACTTTGTAAGATTATAGACACTTGGTCTTTTTCATTTGACTTGGTCTAAGAACTAAGTCATATTCTATGTTATGTAGTATGTTAGACATTCTGTTAGCAACCAGAGCAGTTTGAGCAAAGTGAAAAGTATTAAACGGTGATTCAGAATCTCAGTTGTGGGAGGCAGAGACAGGGGAACATGCCAAAGCATGTCTGTGTGCACTGGCCCCTCAACCCCAGAATAGGATTAGGTTTGCCTACAGGTATGATTTAGACAAGGGTTGGCTTTTTATTTTTTAGGGAAAAACGTTAAGTTTTTGTTTGAGTGTGTGATGGTTTGTGCTGCGGCACCTGTGGGAGTCAGTACATCTTGAGTTGTGAGTTGCTTGTTTCCTTCCTTTGCCAGGCTTGGCTTCAGGCTTGGTCAGAAGCACCTTAACTGGCTGAGCTATTTTGTAGGCTCCCAGTTTTAGTTATTCTTGAAACAGGGCCTTACTCACAGCCCTGGATGGCCTGGAACTTGGCAGAGATCCTCCTAACTATTGGGATTTTCAGGTATGTACTCCCATGCCTGGCTTTACTGTTGTTCAGGTGGTCTCTATAGCCTAGGATGATCTCAAACTTGCAGCAGTTCTTGTGTTTCTGAAGAATTGGGATTAGGGTTGTGTTCCAGAGAAATTTTTTTTTTTTTTTTTAACTCCAAGTGGAATGAATCCTGTACAACTAGAATGAAATAAAAAAAGCTTGTCTCTTCCCCTATTCAGAGTGTCAAGATTTATCTGAAGAAAAAGGATTATATCTAAAAGTTTCATAATTTTTATTTATTTAGACACAGTATCACACTATGTAGCTCTGGCTAGCCTGGAACTTCCTTTGTAGACAAGGCTGGCCTCAAACTTGTAGAGATCCAGTCCTATTCTGCATCCCATATGCAAAGATTAAAGACCAGTGCCATCATACCTGGTTATTAAATTTTAAAAAGTTTGTGTTGCCATGTGTAGTAACACATGCTTTTAATTCTAGCACTTGGGAGTCAGAGACAGGTGAATCTGTGAGTTGGAGGCCAGCCTGGTCTATAGAGTTCCAGGACAGCCAGGGCTACACAGAGAAACCTTGTCGTAAAAAACCTTCAAATTTTTTTGTTTGCTTGTAAGTGTGTGGTGTGTTTATTTGTATATGTACACATGAGGACGTCAGAGGACAACTTGTAAGAATTCTTTCCTTACAATGTGCTCATCCAGCATGGTAGCTTTTAGCTGCTGACCCATCTTATTGGCCCTTTGTTGTAATTTATTTTCGCTGCTGGAGTTTTGAACCCAGGACTTAACATGTCAGGCACACACTCTACAACAGATCTATCCTTAGCCCTTACTTCTTAGGTTCCTTAGGGTGGCTACCTGAATTGAAGTGATCCTGCCTCAGCTGTCGTAGTTCTGACTATAGACTTGTGCTGTGCCGCCGTTCTGGGTTTTATTGTTACAACTTATAATTAAAAGTACATCCTTAACTGGATATGATGATGTATTTCCTTTAATCCCAGCTTCTGCCTCTTAGGACCTTACTGACTGTAACCTCAGCATTAGGATGTAGAGACAGGCAGATAGATCCCTGGAACCCAGCGGCTACCCAGCTTAACTAAAGTAGTAAGCCACAGGTCAGCAAGACACGACTATGTCAGATGGGAAGCTAGGTGGCCCATGCTTTAATACCAGTACTAGGAGGCAGGTCAAGGGTGTGTGTGTGTGTCTGTGTGTGTCTGTGTGTGTGTGTGTGTGTAGTGGGATCCTGTCAAACAAAAGAAAAAGAACACAAGTAAATAAATGATACAATCTTGGGCCAGAGAGATGACTGAGAACTTAAGAGGTCTTACTGTTAGTCAGGGGTCCCAGGTTCAGTTCGCAGCACCCTTATGGCAATTCACAACTGCATGATTGACATTTTCCAACCTCTCTGGACACCAGGCGCCTGTGTAGAACACATACACATGTAGGCTTCCCTATGTTCATATAAAAGAAAAATAAAGCCTAACGGCTTCTGTTGGAGGGGGGGAACTTTGCTGTGATATGTGTTAGGCAGGCAGTTCTAACTCCTAGACAACAAATGATTTTGCTGCTGTGATTGTCCCCAGCTAGTCTTGGAAATCAGCCCAAACAGCCCTTCAGTCTCCCTGAGTATCTGAGACTTCAAGCATGAACCAGTGTGCTCAGTCTATATAATACAGTATTGAAAGAAGTTTCAAAACTGCAGTATTCTTGAGGTAGTAAAAGCTGGCCATGTAAGAACAATTTGGAATGATTATCTGGTAGAAAGTCTTACCTACTTTTTGGTTAAAAAATGGAATTGATTTACTTCAACCAATTGTATTCTAATTTGTTTAAATGCACAAAGGTTAAGATTAGCCCATTAAAAAGAGTATGTGGCAGATTTAATCATACTTACTAATTTATGTATTTTACCTGTATTTGAAATTAGAAGGCTTGTGGTATTTCTGTTCAAACTTTGATTTTTCATCCCCTAATCACTAAATTGTATGTACTTAAGGTACTATGAAGGTAGACAATTTAATGGGGTGAATTATTTGTCTTATATATTTCAGGTTTCTGTTTCCTGTGGGATACCTGACTTCAGATCAAGAGATGGTATTTATGCTCGTCTTGCCGTGGACTTCCCAGATCTCCCAGATCCTCAAGCCATGTTTGATATTGAGTATTTTAGAAAAGACCCAAGACCATTCTTCAAGTTTGCAAAGGTATCAATTTTTTGTCTTTATGAAAAAGAGTTCTCACGTGTAGGCTTCTTAAGTTTACATTTATTGCCCAGTGACTTGGAAGCTACCAGTGGGGTAGCCAGAGCTTAGGTTGTTTTAGGACTGATTTTAAATAACGTACTTTTGGTCTTTTGCCTGTGTGTCTTGCCTTCTCCTTTGGAAGTTTGTAGATCAGATAAAAATGACCTGTTTTCACTTTTAATCTTTTTCTGAGTCATAAAGGTTATAGGACCTACTGTGGTATGTTTTGTAGTGGACAGGTTTTAACATGTATCTGTCTGAAAATGATTTTTAATTACTGAAGGTTGAGATGACGTTTTGGTAAGCATTAGAGGACCCTCTAGTCTTTCTAGTATATAAAAGTCAGTCACTGTAATGGCTTATGGCTATTGAATACGTGTAATGACACAAGTGGAGGGCATATTTACTAGATTTTAAAGACTGCTAAAGAAAAGTGAGATATACTAATTGCACTTATTAAATACTAACAGGCAAACAAATGTTTGGGACTGTGTTCAGAAGCCAGGTGTAGTAAGGAGACTTCATGATCAGCCAGGGAGGGGAGGGCGACATCATGAGACTCAGCTTCAAAAACAAAGTAGTAGCAATTGTTTATTAGGCATTTGAAAATTTCACTTTCATATGAACTAAAAAAGAATGAACACTTGGCCCCTGTGTCTGTTGTGCAGCTCCACTATAGAATATAAAGTTCATGTAAATTGTCCCAAGATTTTAGTTACTAGAAATTTTGCAAGATTTTTTCAGTTCAATCTTAAGGTTTTTTGTTTTGAGACAGTCTGATGTAGGCCAGGTTGGTCTTGAATTTCGCTTAGCCATGAATGGCTGTTGAACTTCCTGAGCCTCCTGCGTCCATAGAGGCAGGAGCTACTATGGCTGGTGGTGTGGAACTTGGAAATACACTGTTCAGAAGGTGCTTCTGATTTAGAGAAATGTTTTAGAGAGAAGTCTTAAAAAGTTGCATCTCTGGAGGGGTGGAATAGTGAGTGGTGCTATACATACCAGAGTGCATCTGTGGATGTGACAGCACCACCTTAGTTTAGGAGATAGGGCTCACACACGTCACACAAGAGTTCCTGGAATAGAACTCAGGTCAGCAGATTTGGCAACAAACTTGTCCTCACCAATCCATCTCCCATCTTGTAAGCCCTAAAGTGGATTAGAAAGGCTGTCTTCATAGAGTACATTCTCAGAATTGTAAGGGAAGGCACATTCTAGATCTTACCTCAGCATCCTGGGTGTTGGGATTAGAGGATGGCCATACTTTGCAGCCAGGGTGTACTGTTGGAAGCTGTGGGGCTACACTGTTTCAAAGAACACCAGTCAGAGATTTTTTTTAATGGATGCAGGACCCTGGTGTTTTATGGTAGACACAGATTTAGAAAGGCCAGCAGGTAACTAGAGGTTACTTTCGTCTTAAGCATAGCTGGTTAGTGACTATATGTTAGTATCCCAACAATTTGTCTTGTAAATTCTGTTGTGAGTTGGGGAAACTGCATTGTCAGATCTAGACTTTTTTTTTTTCTATTTTTATTTACTACAGGATTGTCAAGTGCAGATACATATCTAAAATTGAAAGTTACATATATTTTTAAAAGTTCCATATATTTTTAAAATTACATCTACTTATTTACTACTTGTGGAGGTGTTTGGGCAAGCATTATTTTGTTCCTCTTTAGGGGACTGTAAGGACTAGAATCCAGTAATCCTAGCTCTTTGATAAGGTGTAACAGGCAAACCATTTTATGTCCCGAATCCCAGGGTTCAGGAGGTGGAGGCAGAAGGATCTCAAGTTAAGGCCAGTCTCTGCTAAACACTTGAGTTCCAGATCCTCCTGGGTTACAGAGTGAAATAGTACACAGTGGTAGAGCATTTTTTCACACAAGGCCCCAGATTTTGTTACTCACAAAGGACATATGTATGTTTTTCCTAAATTTTAATTGGGTTCATAGGGCAGGCTGGAGGCATAAAAATTAGCCTTTGATAAATAAAAAGATAAATGAGATAATAAAAGTGACCTTAGTTTATGGATGATATTCTATACATAGACCCGAAAAGCTTCACCAGAGAACTCCCCCTTTCTGTGTATCACTTAGCAAACATGTCTGGGAAGAAAATCTGGAAAAAGTCTTAATAGTCATTATGGACAACAGAGGCTGGAGAGATGAGCCAGTGGTTATGAGTGCATACTGCTTCTTACACATTTCAGAGGTCAGTTTCTAGCACCTATGTCCAGAGGCTCTACAACTGCCTGTTATCACCAGTCTCAGTACAGTCAGTCACATGCTGTTGGCCTGCAGGTCTTCACTTCCACGGCACCTGCACTCACCTGCATCCTCGACCCCAGACATACCAATAATTGAAAGCTTTAAAATAGGGGCCATTAAGAGTGCTTGTTCTAGCACAGAGGATCTGGGTTTGGTTCCTGCCACCCACATTGTGGCTTACACCTATCCATTACTCCACTTCTCTCCAATTCCCTTTTCTGGCATCACTGGGCAACAAGCAAGCATGTGGTACATATATATTACCTTGAGACAAAACGTTCATGCATATAAAATTAATACAAAAAACCAAGGGTTAGGTATGGTAGTGCAGGTCTTTAATCTTAGTCCTTTGGAGTTAGAAGCAGGTGGATCTGTGTCTTGGAACAGCTAGGGCTACCTAAGACCCTGTCTTTAATTCAGTTTTATATGTATGAACTATGTATAACATGAAGCATGTATAATGCTCTACATCATCGTGTGTGGGTTTGCATGTACATGGTCACATTCACTAGGAATTAGTTCATAGCTTTCCTAATTGAAATTCTTTTATTTGGTTAGTCAGATTGGCATACTATAAAAAAAATTCACTTATTTTCTGATATGTGATGAAATATTATATAATTCCACATGCATGATGACCTATCAATTACTTTAAGTGGACAGATAAGTGCATATTTTTATAGTATACATTATGTCGTATATACATCATAGAATGGTTATATCGTTAGTAACATCCGTTACTTCACATATGTATTTCTACTCTTACATGAAGACATTGTAGATACACAATGATAATAATCGTAATCTGTTATACACTAGATCATCTAAGCGTTGTTCTCCCTCAGAGGTTATGTGCCTGCTCACAAGTGTCTTCCAAATCTTACTCTATCCCATTAGCTGAGAACTGTTAATAACTGGGAGCTGCCCCATGAACACTATTAGATTGTTGTTAATAACTGGGAGCTGTCCCATGAACACTGTATTAAATTGTTGACTGTCCTGCATCTTTCCTTGACAGCCATGTCTACTTCCAGATCAGCTCTGACGTCTTTTTCTATATGAGACCATGTGGCAAATGCATAGCCCATAAATCCTAAAGTATTCACTGTGTGACTCTGAACAGAAAATGTGTTCTCTTAAAATTAAATATCCTTCAAGAGGCAGCTGTGAAAAAGTTCAGTGAATGGACTAAGTACAAGGAGGAGTCTCAGTGGAATTTTTGTTTCGCATTTCCCTTTATAGGCATGTGTGTGGTGTGTAGAAGTTGACTCTGGGTGTTTATCATTGCTCTCTCCATCTTGTGGAGGCAGGATATCCTGCTAGGCTGTTCTGCTGGAGTCCCGTTTCTGCCTCCTGCATGCAGGAGTTACAGCGCTGGTCCTCAGCTTACAGTGGAAATACTTCCCACTGCCCTCGGCTCTCCAGCCTTCACTGTTCTGTGTGCTGCTAGGGACTGACCTCTGTGCCTCCCATGCAGCCAGCCTTCAGGTCTTCATAGAATGGAAAGCTTAGGTTATAACCAAACAAACTCAACTGGTTTCCTATGTTTGGGTGATTTTTTTACTTTTTTAGGGTCTGCCTGCCTCTACCTCCGAGTGCTGGGATTAAAAGTGTGTGCTGCCAACACTACGCAGGGTATTACCTTTTAAAAACAAAACCCAAAAAACTAAACTTGATCTTTGTAGAATAGCCCAACATGTTTGGTTTCTTAAAAGCCTTTAGGATATTTAGACTTGAGATGGGTGCCTATTTTTTTGATTTGGAATAATTAACCCATACCATATAAACTCCAAGCTATTTGATTTACAGCAGAATTTTTAGACTTAGTCTATATAAGGCAACTTTTTTTATTACAGGTTTTTTAGAAGTTTTAGAATTTATAGACTATTTCTAGCTGTTTGTTAGTGGGATTACAGGTATGTGCCACTCAGTCCAGCTTCAGGAGTGTTTTCTGTATGCATTGTAATGGAGAGCAAAAATCAGACAGAATCATCCATACCTGGACATAACTAGAAAGATTACACCCTGGTGACTGACTTGCTTTGTTCATGGGTGTCATGGACTATTTTTTAGGTCAGTGCATGAGAGCTCTCTCATTCTCTCAATGGCTGAATATTCCACGGTATGGGTATACCTTACTGTACCTCTAGTTTCCGTATTGATGAACATAGGGTTGTGTTTAGTTTTTGCTAATATGATGATGGGTTAGATAGAGCCTATAATGTAAGAGGACAGATAGTGTAAGCTACTTTAAAGAAAAAAGAAACTTCCTTGTCACAGTCACCTACTAAATGAAATTGAGTAAGAACACTATCAGAAGTTGGGAGGTCAAGGGGCTGGAGAGATAGCTCAGCAGTTAAGAGTACTGGCTGTTCTTCCAGAGGACCTGGGTTCAGTTCCCAGCAACCACATGGTAACACACAACTGTCTCTAACTCCAGTTCCAGAGGATCTGACACCTTCACACAGACATACATCTAGGCAAAATATCAATGCACATAAAATTTAACTAGTTAATGTGTATATTTAAAAAGTTGGGAGGACCAAAATTGATACTTTTTCTCTGATCTTTTTGCCATGTGTATATCTGAATTCTTTGTTTTTAAAGAAGAAACAGCATTGAAGCGTTATTTGGGGGGAAAACACACACACACAATCCAGCAACTCAGCACGCATGAGCAGCTCTGTTCTATACCACTATGTGCCTGTGCAGTGGAAGGAAAGCAATTTTGGTAAGGAATTAAAACTTCAGCTTTAAACTCCCAGCAGGTTAATATTTTTCAATGATGGATCAAAAAGTTTTAAATTCATTGACAGCCTTTTTTTTTTTTAAGTTGTGAAGTCGCCATACCTTTAATATCTGTAATTTCAGTGTAAAGTTTCCCCCTTTTTCCTCAAAGGAAAACAATCTGAATTTGCAGCCAACAAAATTTAGATGTACCTAAGGTATGTATTTCTTGTGACTGACATTAAGTAATCCATTACAGTTTGTTTATGGGTTACATTATCTTGTACTTCAAGGGGCCAAGTTCACTAATTGCTGAGTTTTTAACAAGCTTTTTCTAGGGCCATCCACTTAAGATGCTTTAAAATGTTCATGTATTTTGGTTATTACAGTACATACCTGGGGGGTTATTGTTAGTGCCTTTTTGACTAAACATAAGCAAGATATCTGTTATACTTTTCTCATAAAGTAATGTAAACTTTTCTGCCTTTTGCATTACATAGGAAATATATCCCGGGCAGTTCCAGCCGTCTCTGTGTCACAAATTCATAGCCTTGTCAGATAAGGAAGGAAAACTACTTCGGAATTATACTCAAAATATAGATACCTTGGAGCAGGTTGCAGGGATCCAAAGGACCATCCAGTGTCACGGTTAGTAAGCGGTCTTTCCTTAGTTTAGGGTGCTTACTTTACTAGAGTAATCGGGCTTGGAAAGAAGCTGCTATCTAGTAATGAGATTAAACAGTAATTTGATAATTTGAGTGTACAAAATTGAAAAGGACACAAAAATAAAGCTGAGGGCCTCGGCTATGGTGGGTGTATACTTTGATAAGAAGTTCAAGGCTGGCCTTGACTACACAAGGCCCAGCCAAGCTAAGGTAACTCAGTTGGAACCTTCCAGATGCCGAGGTTTGGCACTTGCAGAGTCATGTTACTGCAGATAGTCCCTGTGGAGGAAGGATAAGGAGTACATACATATACATGTATGGATTAGTGTATAAACTACGTCGACTGTATTATAGTCCTTACAAGACCTCACAGGAGAACTCAGGTTAAAGTCTTCATGGGGGGGCTGGAGAGATGCACTGACTGCTCTTCCAGAGGTCCAGTGTTCAATCCCCAGCAACCACATGGTGGCTCACAACCGTCTGTAATATGTTCTAACGCCCTCTTCTGGCGTGTAGCTGTGCATGCAGCTCCCATACATAACATTTTAAGAAGTCTTCATGGATAGAGTAAGCGACAAACAGTCCTTCATTAAAAGTTGTATTTTGGTTGTTTTAGGTTCCTTTGCAACAGCATCTTGCCTGATTTGTAAATACAAAGTTGATTGTGAAGCTGTTCGTGGAGACATTTTTAATCAGGTAATTTAATTCATTTCATTTTAGAAATTGTGTGAGCTTCACTTTTGGTTGTACCCTCTTCTCTCCCCTTCTGAGAAGTATGTGTTACACAGAAGGAGTGTTAGAAATTCTGATGTAAAGCCGGGTGGTGGTGGCGCACCCCTTTAATCCCAGCACTTGGGAGGCAGAGGCAGGCGGATTTCTGAGTTCGAGGCCAGCCTGGTCTACAAAGTGAGTTCCAGGACAGCCAGGACTACACAGAGAAACCTTGTCTCGAAAAACCAAAAAAAAAAAAAGAAAGAAATAAATTCTGATGTAAGTAGGTCTTTTTCTTCTACCATAAGTAGTAGAAGATCCCTTTGCAAGAAGAGGATGTTAGAGACTGAAGGCTGTGAGACTCAGGCTAACCTGAGCTGGACAGCAAGAGTCTCATTTTTTAAAACAAGCTTTTATGTTGATCAGTTGGTAGAATATGGCTGCTTAGCATTTGTAGTCCTGGGATTGCTCTCCAGCACCAGTAAATCTGGTGTGTGGGCACATGCCTGAAATCCTAACATTTAGGAGGTTGGAGAATAAGAAGTTGAAGGTCATGGTCACCTATGAACAAGTTTGAGGCCAGCCCTCATTACATGAGACTCCAACCTCAAGTCTACAACCAACTCAAGTCTTCCTAAATACACCTTACTACCTCCTTACAATCTTGGCCTAAAACAGGAGGCTCAGTCACAAGTTACTGGGAGAACCTCTGCAATTAGTCTTCTTACATTAGCTGTGGTAAGATTTAAAACACTTTCAAAATAATAGTGAAGTTTTTATTATAGAAAAACTGTAATAAAAACTTCACTTTATATTATAAAGTGTAATAAAAACTTTTATTATAGCAACACATATCCAGAAATATGTCCTGTGTGTTTAACTGTGAAACCATGTATAAGCAGGAAGAAAGATGGTATATTCAAATGGAGTCATTTTCACACACATTTTTAAAAGGTCTTGTTTGCATGCTTTTCCTTGCTCTTTGCATATTTTTATAGTATTTTGTGCGTGCACAGTGGGTATGGAGGAATGATAGCATGTGTGGAGACTGAGGATAAAAGAGATCTGGCTGTGGAGGGCAGATCAGCCTGGGAGTCAGTCAGTTTCTACCTGGGAGTTAAATTTGGTGGAAAGTGTCCTCACTTGGTGAGTCATTCCCCAGGCTCCACCCTGGCTCCACAGCAGACACTGTCAAATACACAATTGCACAGCTTTTGTTTCCTGGGGATGTTGCCGAGTGCTAACCTGGGCTACTTCACTCTCACTCTTTTGTGCAGGTAGTTCCTCGGTGCCCTAGGTGCCCAGCTGATGAGCCACTTGCCATCATGAAGCCAGAGATTGTCTTCTTTGGTGAAAACTTACCAGAGCAGTTTCATAGAGCCATGAAGTATGACAAAGACGAAGTTGACCTCCTCATTGTTATTGGGTCTTCTCTGAAAGTAAGACCAGTAGCACTCATTCCAAGTAAGTTGATGTTTAGGGACAGGTCTCCTTGCTGTGAGTTGTGGATCTGTATAAGATGTGGTTTTACTGTTTTTATTTAGTTTAAGATCTACGCTTTACTTTTTGGGTGATCTCCATAAAGTGACATGTTGATATGTGAATGGGGCTGTTAAGACAGAATTTCCGATTTCAATTGTAGTTCATGTAAGATCAAACTGTTTGATTGATGCTTTTTAATAGTGTGTATATTGAAGTTGCAGAGCTTCAATTCTGTGTAGTCTCTTAACACCCCCCCCCCACACATACACACACAGTGGTTCTCAACCTTCCTAATGATGCAGTCCTTTAGTACAATCATGTTATAACCTCCCCTGTGTGCTAGTTATAAATCACAATGTAAATATCTGTGTTTTCTGATGGTCTTAGGCAACCCCTGTGAAGGGGTCATTCAGACCCCAGAGGAGTTGTGACCCCACAGCTCTAGAGTATGTACAGTATCCCCTTACAGCTATTTTATGTGCTTCTGTATGATAGAAGTGTGTGTGGACGATGTGTCCCAGAGATGGATTAGTCAGCAGGAAAGAAGAAAGAGCACTATTCTTTTTTTTTGGTTTTTTGAGACAGGGTTTCTCTGCTTAGCCCTGGCTGTCCTGGAACTCACTCTGTAGAGCAGGCTGGCCTCGAACTCAGAAATCCACCTGCCTCTGCCTCCCAAGTGCTGGGATTAAAGGCGTGCGCCACCACTGCCTGGCTGAAGAGCACTAAGAGGACCCAGGAAGAGTTCCTCACACTCAAATGACAGTTTGTCTCCAGTTTATAGGGGATCTGGTACTCGGTTTGGCCAAGTACTCACATTGTACACTTATATGGATGGAGGTATATAACACACCTCCCCTACACACACATACACCCCATTTCTTGAGATCTACCCTATAGTTGGCACTGGGACATCTATGCAGACAGGGCTAGCCCCACCTCCTAGTCTCCTGAATGATGAGATCAAAGGCATGTGCTACTGCTCCCAGCTAATCCTTGGTAGCCAGGAATGGTGGTCTATACCTGTCTGTAAACAGAGTGGTGTAGGGTAAAGGCAGTGGAGTCAGGAGTTTGAACAATTGCTTCTACTTAGCAGACTTGAGGCCAGCCTGGGATAGATAATAGTTGTAGTTCCACAAGGACATTTGCTTATGTTCAGGAGCTCAGCCTATTATTGGCCAACATAATCCTAAAAGGTGAATTTTCTGAGTTGAAACCATGCCTTCATGTCCAAGTTTCTGTTATTCTTGATGTCCTCAAAGGACTCAAAGGGATCCACCTGCCTCCTCCCTCCACGACCAGTTAGATTTTTATTTTTTAAAGCTAATTTAAAGGATTTTGTTGATTTAAAAGTTTAAAAGCTTTCTGAATTGGAACATTTGGAATCTCAGTTCTCTGAACCTGGGACAGGATTTCCATAAGTAACACAGCCTCAGTAGGAGCAAAGTATACTGTTTGTTATTGAGAGGAAATTGCTTTTGAAAATGTAAAACGCTTATACTACAAATCTGTATGCCTGCTTGACCCTTTTGTTGAGATGGGGTCTCGAGTGGGTGTGCTGCCATGCCCACCCACCCCATGACAGTTGTCGTTACAATCCATTTCTGTTTTCTAACTTCCCCTTTCACCCTGTTTTTAGGTTCTATACCCCATGAAGTGCCTCAGATATTAATAAATAGGGAGCCTTTGCCTCATCTACATTTTGATGTAGAGCTCCTTGGAGACTGCGATGTAATCATTAATGAGTTGTGTCACAGGTTAGGTGGCGAGTATGCCAAACTCTGTTGTAACCCTGTAAAGCTTTCAGAAATTACTGAAAAACCTCCACGAACACAAAAGGACTTGGTTCATCATTTATCAGAGTTGCCACCAACACCGCTTCATATTTCAGAAGACTCAAGTTCACCTGAAAGAACTGTACCACAAGACTCTTCTGTGATTGCTACACTTGTAGACCAAGCAACAAAGAACAAAGTTGATGATTTAGAAGTATCTGAATCAAAAAGTTGTGTGGAAGAAAAATCACAAGAAGTACAGACCTGTAGGAATGTTGAGAGCATTAATGTGGAAAATCCAGATTTCAAGGCTGTTGGTTCCAGTACTGGAGACAAAAACGAAAGAACTTCAGTTGCAGAAACAGTGAGAAAATGCTGGCCCAATAGACTTGCAAAGGAGCAGATTAGTAAGCGGCTTGATGGTATGGAATGCTTTTTGTTCAGTCACTTTCAAAGTACTATGATCAGAGAAAGGTGACTCCCAATGTCAGATAACTGTTCTGACATTAGTTGGTCAAGATAGTGCTATATTTTTGCCGGCAGTAGTTTGTGTGATTAAACCCAGGGCTTTAAGCAGCTAGGGAACTTGATCTGTCAATTGAGTTCTATCCCCAAGAGTGAGTTTTACTCTGTCCCCTCCAACCCCAGCAAATGATTAAGACTTGAGTGCTTACTGTGGGTCAGTTTATGATCTTATGGGGTGGGAAAACTTAGGGTTGAAGATGCATGTATAACCCCAGAAGGTAATTAGGTCTAGGTCTGCCTTAAGGCTGTACCCTCTTTTATAGGCTCAACCCTCTGGGCTGCCTTGGTTAAGATCTAGAAAACAGGATTCCTATCTACTTGAACATGTATTTTGTCCTATAAACTGTTAACATAGTTTGTAGAAACTTATTAGATAGGGCCTCATATTTGGACAGCAAGCTGGCTTTTAAATGTATACAGCTTTGATCCTTTGTAAGCATCTAAATCATAACAATCTAGACAACAGCAGAGCACTATAATATAAAATCTGTTTTCCATACCCTATACACACAAATACCCAATAATAGACTTCTGAAGACAGGGTCTCATTATATAGCCCTGAGAGATTGCTTTTGTACCTGAGTGCTGGGATTAAAGGCATGTGATTCACAACATCTGTAGTTACCTGGCACTCATCCTTCTCTCTCAAGTGCTAGGATTGTAGCCATGAGCTATCACAGCCTAGCCAAGGAATTTTAGATAATTATTAATGATAAACTTAACTGCCTCCATCTGCCCAGTGCTAGGATTACAACTATGTGCCGCCTTACTTGGTTTATGTAATGCTGTGTATGATCCCAGGGCCAGCATGGGGTCAGCAAACAAATTTTAGTTGAGTAGAATAAACGCAGTATACTAAATTCTGGAGACACAATCTACTTTTGTCTGAGATTGTAAAAACATGTTTTAGTATTGCTGAAGCAGAATAAATACTTTGTTTAGACAAAACACCACTCTACAAAATACCCTGATCATAGAGCCCAACTTTTTTTTTTTTTT